ATATGATGTGTACACATTGTTCCACATTTAACTCCATTCACTGAAGTATCCGATTTGAGACACAGGAAAACATTTTGTTTAATTACTCCTTTGACTTAGTATTCAGCCGTATTCATTCTAACATTGATTGAAAAGAGCAACTTCTTTCCAAATTAATATGGGAAACTAAACTTTTTCAGCAGCCACTGAGTAAATAAGTGATGGTTGTAACAGTGAAAACAGCAGCAGACAACCAGTAGACAAAACCCAACACATATTTTGTATGCTACCAACATTATATTCCATCCTCTCTAATAGTCAATATCAAGGCCTACACACCAAACTTTATCAGGAGGAACATGTGGGATACTTTCTCTTTCCATAAACTGTATGAAATGTCAATCACCTGACGCTGTCATCGCTTAAGGTTTTAAAAAGCAATCAGCTTACAACACAATACCTCTTATAACAATCTGAAGATATGCAGATGACATTGCAGAGGGTAACAGCAGCAGTGAGTGCAGTTCACTCCCCCTTATATTACCTTGAATCCACTCATAAGCAATAAAGAAGATCAAGTCATACAGAGCACAATAACTTTAATCCTGCTGAAATTTAGTTTGACTTTTGGCTAATCTTACAAGCAAGAAGGTGTGGAAAGTTCATTCTTATCCTTTACAACAGTAGTTAAACAGATAAGTTACTTTTTTTTTGTTTCAACCTCATCTCTTCGCACAGTCTTCATCTCTGGAAGAATTTTGTTCTGTTAAGATATTGTCAAAAAATACAGTAAATATTGATCCCACTGCTCCAACCACTGATTACTGCTAAGTTAATAAGTGAACATGCATATCACCTATTCCCACATATTGCAGTATTCTAAGTGCAGCATCTAAGAGTCACACAACCCAGAGCTTTAGGGATGAAATCTATTGACAGTGTCCAGAATGCTGAGTTGTAATTACAGCTGCAACCAATAAGTTAGTGAATAGAAAATTAATCTACAACCATTTTAATAATCAAATTATCATTTTAAGACAGATTACTGAGAACCCACATTTAGAAATTAGGTCAAACTCCTGTCAATAACATGAGTGCAAAAACTACCAGGTGCAACTCTGCACTTGTGACACAACGATGAACAACTTTCTACATTATTTCCACCAAATTGAATTTATTTGAAGTTTACAGAAAGACACATTTCCAAACTGGAGAACTACTCAAGTCTGACTCCTCCATTCAAACTTGTACTAATAGCACAAATGTTTTACCATCAAAAAATATTTGAAATAACAAAAGCAACTCAGACTTTTAGAATGTATTACATTTTAAAATACTGTGTTTATCACTTTTATTGTGGCTACTGGTAAAATAATTGATAAAATAGAATTAACGTAACTCAATATTCTGTTGAGTAGCTTATAAATGTCCCCCAATGGACAAGAACCTTAATATTATTATTTGTCTGATGATTGTGTTTAATATTATCTATCTGCATATAAAGTGACTCATAACCAAATACATGTAGTGGAATAAAAAGTACAATAATGTCTGCTAATCTACTTTGGGGTTAATGTTAATGAAATATACACACGACAACAATTACATTTAACTTAAGTACAATTCTTGAATACATGTACTTGGCTATTTGCACCTGCACCACTGATTCTTTGTACAGTTTACTGTTTCAAATTGAATAAAAGTTGAAGCAAAGGTTTCATATAAAGTTTTTAGTGTCAGAGTTCCTGCAAGATGTATCAGCTAATAACGATACGACATGAAACCGAGGATAGGTTTACACACATGGGTCTCTCTTGATCATCCTTCAATCTTTGGACTTTACCTTGACTTTGATCAAATTAGTTACTTCATCACAAACTCAATGATGCATCACACACATCAAACTGCAAAGCACCGACTTAAAGGTACAGTGTGTAGAATTTAGTGATATCTATCTTAATGCCCTTCTGCTGCTGTAATGTCCAAATTTCCCCAGTGTGGGATGAATGAAGTCGATCTTATCTTATGTTGCAGCTCAACACCCCCTCAGCTCCCCCTCTCCCTCTCCTCCCCAACATGAAGAAGAACCTGTGGTAGCTTCACTTGTCATTGAAACTCAAGAGGTGTTTAGTTCGTCCAGTCTGGACTAATGCAAAAAAACATGGTGGCCTCCGTAGAGAGGACCCCTCGATGTAAATATTTAAATATAAAGTACATTATCTAGGGTAAAGAAAACGACAATTCATACAATTTAGATTAAACGAACTAGTGAAAACATCATGAGGATTATTCTACATTACATTTCTGCCAATAGTTTCCTTTCACCTAAATCTCACACACTGACTCTAACACATGTGAACACATTTGTCTCAGAGTTCATTATTTTAGCTGAGCGCTGTCGTGCATGGCCATTTATCACAAAAGTGCAGATTCGAGTTATTTTTTTCTTCCATGATCGTGAACCCAGCGAGGCCCTGCTGTAAACACTGCTAGTGGGGGTGACGTTAGCTTTAGCTTAGCTGCATTAGCGGCTAATTTCGAGTGGGGATAACGTCAGCGCTGCATTTCCAAGATGCGGTGAATTAAAGACTAAAGGGGATAAATCAACATTATCTTGTGATGCACCGACTCGGTTCGCGCTTCGCTAAAACACCACCACAAGCAGCTTCAGTGGAATCGCTCCAAGCTGGTCACAAATTGAATTTGAATTAGCTAAAAGTGCGCACGCTAGCGGGTTAGCTTCAGCTGCATTGCTAGCTACTCACATTTCTTGAGCCACTTCATCCAGTGGCGAACGATGAGGCCGTGGTTCTTCTTGTTTTCAATGCACCAGGTGGAAAGTCCCTGTATCGCCTCCATGGTGTTGGATACTCCTTGAAACTTGCGGTCCAGAGACGCTTCCAGAGCCGCGTGAGAGCCGCGGGCTCCGTGGCCGCTCGCAGCCCCAGAACCGGCCGCCATCTTTGCAGCTAGTGCCGATGGCTCGCTGCTGGTGATGGATGAAGCAGATAATGCGATGAGAACACACGCCCCCCTCCCCCCTTCTGATTTCACAGTAAACAGCTATATTTACTAAACCAGGAATCAAGACGAGGTCACACTGCTTCATGGTTCATGTCTAAGTTTAATATCAGCGGACTTTAATACAACCAAGACAAAAACACACAAGTTGGTTCCATTTTGTTGTTTATTTAAGGCTTTGACTGTAATATTACAGAGAAATATCACTAGAGGTGAGTCAAACATTTAGTTCTGTCCAAAATAAAATAAAATGCATTTTGGAGATTTTTTTATTTCGTGAAATGTGGCTGTAATGCCAGAGTCAGTCCTGAAACTGGAGCCTCCAGCGCTTCCAGGTTTATTCTACATGTGTTAACACAGCAGCAGTCCCTCACTGATGAAGGTGATTTATTCAACTGCTTCACTCACACAGGGATCAACATCAGTGGACATGTGGGGGTTCATCACAAAAAATTAAGTCACGATATAGTCTGACAGTTTCTCGTCATCATATATAGCCTTGGATCCTGTTGTCTATCGCAGACAACATGATCTGATAGAGGGGCCTACGGGTAAAGACTGATGATGCAGGCATACACACTCTCCCACACACACTCATCTGTCGAACATCCTCATGAAGACCCACACAGGATTATTTTGACTGCTTTTCTATGTTCAAGTCTTTGAATTAGGTTTGTATGCTGGGCAGATGAAAGCAGCAGGTCAGCAGTGAGGATCTTCTGACTGTGAGGCTGTAGGTCTGGGTGTGGACTGAAGCTATGTGCTCTCCCTGCAGGTTTCAGTCGTCCGAGGTTTCCAACACACTCTGGCTGAGGGCCAGGTCCCAATAGTGTTCTGTGCAGTGCTTCTTGAAGTGCTCTCTGGCCATATTCTCCGTGGGACACTGCTTGAACTTCATGTCTCCAAAACTGCGCTCCTTGGCTGTTCCCTGAAGAAGCAATAGGAATTAGATTAGATTACAAAAAACCCTGACATAATTTTTTTTTGATATTTAATAAAACAGAATGAAAGAAACTCACCTCCCAAATTAACCAACACTTGTTATTTCTCCTTGCATCTTCATCACCATCAGGATCTAATTAAGAATAATAATAATAATAATCTATCTATAATCAAGAACACATAACTGGGATAGAAGACTCCAAAGACAACTTACCGTCTCTTTTACTGTTGTGTTCCTCCCATTTGATTCTGTGCATCATCAGTTTCTTGAACTTTTTCTGGGATTTGGGTCCTAAACAGAAAAGAAATTCAAAAACAAAATACATCCATTATGAGTTTGATTTTCCTATAACTTAATTTATTTCTAAGGGGTAACTTGAATGAAAAACAATCGTTCAATGGAGACATTAGTCCTCTTAAAAACTTGTGCACTTCAAACAGACATATAGCCATAAAAGAATACACCAATACATGACTCAGTATCAATTGGTCCTTCACAATGTTGTTCCAAGAATTACTCATGACTATATTTGTACATTAGGGCTTGCTAAACGTGATGATACTTGAGCCTGAAAAGCTTATTGTGCACAAGATGCAAAATGTGTCCTTCAAACTAAGTGACAATTGTTTTGAGTAAGTCCTTATCTATCATGATTTCAGCTCTCAAAACCTTTTTCTAATTTATTTAAGAATTAATGTTCTAATTCCCCCAATACTTTGTGTAAAGTGGCAATCCTTTCCCTAGACTGTTTCTGGACCTTCATCCTTTATTACCACAGTGACAGTTGCTGTTTAGTTTTCAAGACAACTAAGAATTTAATCAATTCATTTCTATCAAATATATTTGGATAAAAAAAAGGTTGGATATTTTTGAGATAAAAAACACATCAGACAACATTTTAACCTTTTGGGAAAACTGGGAATAATGTAGTTTATAAAAAATAAGGTGTAGGAAGTGTTACAGACCCACAGTGAAATGCTAAAAAGGTTTAATCATGTAATGAACCGGAGAAAATTGACTTTAATCTTCATTATTTCTTTAAGAAATTACGAATATCAATGGCTCGCATTTAATGTCAACACCAAATCATTTCTCCTCAGGGGACTATACATATTTTACAAAGCACTTGTCAAACTGGCAAGATAACTGATAACACTGTAAACCTGAGAATCATTTCCCTGTGTGCCGTCATGGAGATGTTTTCCTTACCTCCCTCCACTACAACAAGGTTGACATCTCTGTGCAGGACTACGGTGCCTGTCAGGTACAGCTGGTTGGCATTTTTCTCCACTTTAAACTTCTTAGAAGTACTTTGCAGATAACGGATCCTGTACAGGAAGAAATAAGTCTGACAATTAGAAACACTATCATGAGTCAACATACAAACGCTGTAATATGTGTTTGCACTACAGTATTTGATCTCTCCCTACAAATACAAACCTGTACACTGCAATGTGAACACCATTAGTAATGTCTTCTTTTAACTTCTTGACCTTCTTCTCTTTCCTCTGCCCTGCTGTGAGTTTGCGAGCGGCGTTGGCCTCTTCATGAGCCCTGAAGGGAGGTGGACACAATTAGAAAAAGCTTTAGGATGGCTTTTATTCTTCTTTAACATAATGTGTGATTCTCCATGACTGCGAGATACAAGGAGATAATGAAGGAGGGTTGATTGTGTTACTAACTTCTGTCTCTTTGCCATCTGTGCTCTGACGTGGGCCTCTACTTTTGTAGGGTCCTGAACTGCCTCCGTCCCCAGCACTCTCATTAGGTTGGAGATGCGCACTGTGAAAATAAAAAACAAGCATCAGCTGCATTCGGTTTAATCTTGCATAGCACCAAATTGTAAATGTAGTAATTTTTGAGTAGGTACCTTTGGGTTCTGGTGGAGGCATGAGACCCAGACGAACCTTCTCTTGAACTTCTTTTTGGCCCTCCCTTCGCGTCTGTCTTCTTAATTTCTTCTGTTCTTTCTTTGTCAGGTACACGCCAAGTGTGACTGGCTTATCTGTGTCAACTGAGAACCCCCCACACAGTAAATTATTATGGTAATAATGAAATAAATACAATTAAGACACATTTGTGCTTTACTTCATAATGATAATATAAGACTTAAGTTTAAAAAGTTCACAGCTCACATTTGATCTCCTGTACACTTACCTGGGGGGTTAATTTGTGCAGGGTGTTCTACAAGGTTGGTTACACCAAATAACTCCAGCTGTTCAAATTTTGTTTCTGGGGTTCTGCAAAAGATTAAGAGGAAAACTAAATGAAGTACAGATGGTGTAATTATTTGTGCTTGGGACAGTTTTATCATTTAACCTAAAATCATACTGCCATTAAGCTTGGATTAGCTGTGGTTTCTTACAAGTCTATGTTGCTGGGCAGGATGAAAGAGTCCCACCACTCAATACTGGGCACCTCCCCATCCCCAATCTCCTTCCTGGGTGCAATCAGGGCGAGCTTGGTGGACGCCTGGATTCCTGTCTTCTTTGCTGCCTGGGCAATCTCACACTGCAACCTTTCCAACTGGGCCTGGTTGACGTACAGATCAGCACAGGAAGGTAAAAAGTCAAGTTATGTGAATCATAATTGCAAAGTCCTCTATTTCAAATAACCAGGCTTAGAGCAGACGACTGCTCACAATGAAAATATTAGAGAGAGAAAATAAATAAATAAATAATCTAACCTTAGTTCTAATTCTCTGAGCAATCTTCTCAAAGCGCCCCTGATCATGGAATTTGAAGCCCCTGCGAGGGCGTTGAGCTGGTGTTATAAATACACGTTGATCAAAGTAGGACGTGGACTCCATGTCTTCACCAGGCTTCTCCTTCAGCTGCTGGCGGAACTGCTCCCTCTTCACCGCTCGAATGTTAGCTGAACATTGAGAGGGAAATTAAATGAGAAACACCCAAACAAGAAAGTAAGACTGTGTATGTGTGTAATTGGCTTCTTTATTCATACCTTTGAGTGTGGGCATTCGATGTGTGAGTTCAACCTCTTTGCCACTTGCATCCACAGTTCTTCCCTTCTCATCCAGAATAAGAGGTGTTGGCTTATTCACTTCCTTGATTTCCACTTTCCTATAATAAAAGGAGCTCACTGAAAAACAGTCCGTTTCCACTCGGCCTCATCAAATAACTACTATAATGTTTTTTTTTCCCTCTTCAGATTCTACTTACGGTGGAGCAATTCCCATGGCGTGTAGATTAGCTAGTGCCACTAGGTTGTGAGGCCCAGTGTTTCCCAAAGCTCCGAGGATACCAGGTTTCAAGGCCAACTGGGACTGGATGCGTGCCTGTAGTTCAGCAGCCTTGCGGGCCTTCTCGATAGCATCATTCATAAAGCTGGCTGCCTGGGAGGGGGCAATGGATGAAGCACCACCAACAGCTGCACCAGCATTGGTGCCGAGAAGCCGCGATACTGAGGAGGCCTCCATTTGTGACTGTGATGTAGGAATGGACAACCGCTTAATTAGCGAGATATAAGAACAATATTATACTTAATGATTTGTCTGAAATTGCTGATACTCCCCAAAAAATCTGAGTTTTCATGGGGAAAATCTCTTACCTGTCCAGCAGGAGTTGGAGATGAAAAACTCAGTTGTTTCTTTCTCTCTTCGATCTGTTTGGTGGCTGCTTCCATCATCTGTTTAATCTATTCATATAAAGAAAGTTTTAGTAAGGGTAAGAAAATATATCATAATGCTCCAAACTAACTTATTTAGCTTTAACTGTGGTGAGTGGAGTATCATACCTGCATTTTGGTGAGCATGCCAGAGCTCTCAGATGGAGGTACAGGGATGACCTCACGCTCTTCCACCTCCTCGAACCGAGGGACCCGCTTTCGCTTTACCACTGTCCCATCTCCTGCGTCCTGAGGTTCTCGCATGGCACCCGTGTCAGTTTCATCCCCAAACACATCCTGAGACAATCAAAATAGAAACAGCAATCAAATTAAATTATCTTACAAAAATCACATATTACCATTCAGCCAAACAAATAGGTGTTTACATTTGAAAAAACGACATTATGTTCTGCTTTTTTTCTTCAAT